CAAGTAACGTACTCAGGGTTCATAGTTCAAAAGTAATATAGAATTCCCTGACTTCCACGTTTTCTCCGACATAAAAAAAAAATCCAGGCCACTTGTAGTTCATTTTTACACACCAATAGGCGTTTATGCATTAAACTTTTTCTAGACTGGACTCCATAATCTTTTTTATATCCAAAACCACAAATAGTTTTCTCTTTCAAGAACCTAGGTCCTGCTTACATAAAATTTCCAGTAGCAAACGTCAAATTCCCTGACTATTCCCTATTTTTTTTTGTGAAGAATATTGAATTTTCTGACTTTTCCCGGTATTCCCAGTTTTCCCAGCCACTATGAACCCTGTTTTTTAATTTTGAGAATTTTGCAATAAATTCAAATTCTTTTTTAAATCTCAACAATAAATAATAATAATTTGAAAATAATTTTTGAATTTTTACTTTAATTTTCATTTAAATCGTAATTAAATAACTAACAAAATATTGAAAAAATAAGTTTACTTTGGCTTAATATACAAAAAAAACTGTAAATGAACGAAGCTTCATTTATTTATTTAATAATAGTAAAATAATTCCGAAATCGAAATTTTAATTAAGTAATATTTCGTTTAACAAGAATTTTTGTAACATTTTTGTAAATTAATTAAAAATTAAGTATAAAAGATGCATTTTTTCTGGGATTCGGGGCTATTCTACGAATTCGTAAATATGCCTATTGTTATTTTTTCCTCGAGCTACCCCAGTTCAAAAAAAATAAGTTTCTACGATGAATAGAAGCCGAGATATTGCAAAATTTTACAGCGCGCATCAATTTGAACTTCCTCGCGCGCGACTCGCTTGGACGAGCTTTCCCCACCACCACGCCGGACATTTTACTTGGCAAGTACTTTCTCTTTAAAGGGCCCGCTACGATTTTTTAAAAAAAATTCTTATGTTGGCTCCTGTTGGTCGTAGAGGGTGCTTTTTTTAAATTTGTATTTTTTTGCCAGCTATCCATTGAATCTATTTTCGGTAAGGTAGCATAAATAGCAACAATTTTATTCAAATTTTTTATAAGTGAAAAACGCACGTTTTTTTAATGCACAATTTGAGAATGTTAATGTCAAAAAAACTGTGACATTTTTTAATAGGTCGCTTAATTACGTCTTTCAGTTTACAATGACGCTTTCAGAATCATGTTTGGTTGAAAATTAACGCCTGTACAGAGGTTTAAGCTTAAAGTTCATAATTTTTGGAGTCTCCGTTATAAACAAATTGATTTGTGCGAAAACTTTTGCACCTGCAGCGCCCACATTTGGCACACTTTTAAAGTATGACAAAACCCTCAACTTGTCATGGGTTTTATAAAATTTTAACAATAAATGCGATAGTTATAAACAAATTAAAAAATGAACACTTTTCTTGTTTTTTTGCAATAACTTTTTTGTTTATTAACCGATTTTAATTTAACAAGTCTCATTTTGTAGGTAATTTTATTCCCTACAAGCTGTCTCAGAGTCACTTTTCGCTAAAATTGATGGTTTTCCCTGCAAAGTGAAAAAACTGTTTGCCTCACTTATTTGTTTAAATAGGAAAGCTAGCTGATAAAAGTTTTTGACTCACGAGATGAGAGATGTCTTGTATTATGTTCCTTTAGACAATTTTACAAAAATCTCGCTGATAGGACGTTTTTCGAGTTTCTCTTTTATTTTCGCTAATTTTCCTGGTGTAATATGTTTATGTACTCGGATTGATCGGCATATACCTAATTTATTATTCGTATCGACATTGTTCATCTTGGCGTACCTACTTGAAATGTGCCTCCAGTTTGAAAGGGCAGTGAACTGTCTTCAGTCGACCTGTCCGGGCGATTTAGAATATAAAACTGTTCTGACGTGACGGTTGGGAAGTAAATACAATCATTGTGAGCCGCAAAGTGAACATTGGTTCTTAAACGGGCCGAACATAACTGAGGTTCGGCTCATGAACCGTGAAAGTGGCTGTAAACGTCGTCAATCATGGTATTTTAGAGAAAATCAACGTACAGTCGTGCACAAGAATGGTGACCAACCTAAAACATTTAGAAAGATTTAGAAGTATGAAAATAGTAAATCAGCAAGTTTGAGTTGGCAACTTTTTATTGTCCACAACTGTAGGTATGGACAATATGGAGAAATTATATGTTTTTCTTGGATTTTCTTAAACTGATTGGTAATAAAGTTGAAAGACAATATGAGGCAATAATGAATTATAGAGGCAGAGATTATTCAACGTACGTTAAAGAGTGATTTATCGACTGTAAATAAATATAAACTTTATACGTTTATTTTGAAATTGTAAGTACGTCTTAAAAATAATACAGATGCTCACGTGGTGTGCACAAATACATCAACATCTGAAGCAAATGACGGTAGCACCATATGCAGTAGTAATACGATACCTTTTTTATTGGCAAGTCGTTTGTGACATGGTAGATACTAATTTATTATCTTTTATTAAATAGATCTCATAAGCACAGGTAAATCGTTTGAATATTTACCAAATCTCTCGCAAATTTTGCTGCATTATGTTGATCAATAGATAGATGTATTAATAAATACAGGGGTATAGTAAATAATCGGTCGTAATTCAAGGACAGTTTCCTCTCTAGTTTCCTTGAGTGAAAATAAAAGCGGTTTAGTCAAGTTACTTTAGCTACAGTTTTGCTTAAAAGTCCAAATATTCTTTTTTTATTAAATTTTTTATAATAACCGTCATTTTTAAGATATTTCCGGATATTTCGTTGAACTTTGGCACAAGAATATTTTTCTGCCAAATAAACACATTTGCAAATAACTCAATTTTTATAACATATACCGTTTTCTTTTATTCATCATTTCGATGTGATGGATTCCTTAGAGCCAATAAGAGATCAGTATTTTTTAAACAGACCAATCGTAATACATCGATGGAATTCATCGCATTAAAACGAGGAATAGAAGAACACCGCCATATGCCTTCATTAGGTTACCCAAGAGGTTGCTGGTCGATACATACATATACGAAAATTCGTTTTTGGCAAAATTCTCGCATAATATTATGTTATTTCACGTTCTTTTGCACGAGGTTTGTAAATGATAAAAAATTCAAGCTCGTTCTCAAACGCCGTAAGATTCTGATCTATTTTTGAGGCACAATACGTTTTGACTTATTTGTTTACTCAGACAATAGATAAATATTTATTACAAAAGGCACTTTAAGTCAAGCTGTAAGTTTTCAAACAAATTGTCTGAGATATTTTTAAATGGGTTTACTTACCACTAACGCAGAGTTTATTGACGTTGCGTTCGGTTCTCAGGCCCCACGTTGATTGCAAAATGCATTTCTAAGCTGAAACGATCACAATTCCGATAATTCCTGATAATAGACCAATCTTGAAGCCCTGAATGAAGTAAGCAATGCTCGGGTCGTTATTTGCTTTGACAAACTAGAAATGCCTTGTAGTTTTTTTTTTTATTTTTGAAAAATTCAATAATTAGTAATTACCAACAGCTACTTTGACTTGTAATCATTTTATAGTGCGTTTTTGAATTCTACTCACTTTTTAAGAAATTTCTTATTATTTTTATAAATTTAACATTTTGCTCCTAATTAAAGATATGTTAAGCTTTAATACCCTTTTTGTATGACCTACAGATACACATTGAAGTTTAGTGAAATATAATACAGGGTAGCGCCCTAAAACTAGATTTTTTTACATACTTAGAAGGTACTGAGGAAATCCAACCAATAATTTATTATTGCTAAGATAATCTGTATTATAATAGCATTTTTCTATGAAAAGCGTAAGCTTTCCGGAGCCTGTTTAAGGCAGATGTTATATTAGGTTTAGTTCTATTTATGGCTAAAATATATTTATCAGTGTAGTGTCAACAATTAACTTATCCTTTAATATCAAACGTACAAGGATTTTATCAAAATTCAACTCTCTTTTCTTAAAGTTTTCGCACATACATATGTAAAGTATTTTTATAAATTTATATGCATTATCAAAGTCATTATTATTAATCTCACTTTACTCAATTTTATAAACCGCAGAACAAACACAAATTTTTAATTAGTGATATAAATAGTTTTTAATTATCGTTGTAGGAAGTATGTAATATATAACATCCGCAAAATACTGAGTGTCCGCCTGTGTTGCCATACTAATTAACTTCCTGTGAGAATTTGCGGTCATTGTTCGTTTTTTCTTTCGTCAATATGGACATTTCAAATTTGGGTTCTTGCTCTCGTTGACTAACCTGAAATAAAAATATACGTCCTATTGTAGCCTTAATTCGTTTGAGGGGTAGTTCAAGGGTGTGATAATTTTACATATATGTTGATCTATTGTACTGAATTTAATTCCTATTTTTACTTTTTCGTTACAAAGCTAGACGTGTCCAAAACATAAGTTTTACCTTGCTTTTGAATAATTTGGCCGCCTTGAGGGTTCCTACTGTTAATGGTTTTGGCCCGCATTTGTTAAATCGATTGAAATAAGGTTTTACCTTTGTGAAATAAGTCCTGGCAAAACTGGTATCCACTTGGATTCGATGGTTAACTTTTCTTCTGGCTTCTTGCCTTCCCTATCCAGTACAATGAGCTTGGTGAACCTCAAGTCATCGGAGTTGGTTTTGTTGCATACCCATTTCAAGCACTTATGTTTTGGAACTAAAATTTATGAAATTTAATTTTACATTTGTCGAGTATTTTTGTCTGGAAGTATTTGTCAGCGGTTTAATATTGTACGACGTTATGTCAAAAATTGAAGTATTTAATTTGCAAAAGTACAAAATACCTACGTGTAATTCTCGGTGTTAGATAGTGCAGCGTTCCAAAAGCGAAAACCTTTAGATCGTTCGCATCTTTTTCGTATTCTTCACATCTACAAGTATTCATTTGGAATTTGATTTAGAAACAACTGTCAGTCGAATTAGATCATAGATTTGACAAATTAGATCTATTATTGTTACCATAGATTTGGCAGGATAATATGGATGGAATGTAGAGAGATGTAAGGGCCAAAATGTAAAGTGAGATGAAACTAGTCTCACGTCATGTGACTTAGGGCATTTGCAGGCTTATGACAAGCGATTTGCTATATCCATTACGTGGTATTAAGTGTTATTGCTTATTTTACATAGAGATTTGACAGTACCTAACTTTTTTTAATTGTTGTGTTGGTACCAAAAAACAGACAATTTGATAATCAGAAATAGTTTCTTTTAAAATCAATGTCGCGCGATTTGTATCCTAGGTCACGTGAGTTAGGACAAATCACTGCCGATTTTGCAGTTCATGTTGGAACAGTTACAATGTACAGAAAACAGTTTTTCCGGATTCAAAGAAAATTATGTTTTATGAAATAATACAGTTAAAATTAATTGTTATTTTTTTTTGGAATTCTGTTATGTTTAAATTGTGAAAACTTTTCGATATGTATTATGTCTATGTAACAAAAGTGTGATTTTGTAAGCTCGCCTTTTTTCAGATTCAGGAAGGCTTAAATAGTTCGGTCTCGCCTTGCGACGATCTGTGGCAGGCAACCTGTGGAGGATGGTTGAAAAAATATCCTCTTCCGAAAGATAGGGGCATATGGAACCAAAAGCAGCAACTCGTGAGGCGAGGTAGATATATTTTTATTTATTTAATAAATATTTGAAAATATATATTCGCTGGTTTATTTTTTATTTTTTTTAATCGTTTTAATTTGCTTTGGAATCGTCTGATGTTTCATTTTTTAAGATTTTTATTGGATTGTAGATACATTAGCATTAAGAGTATTAGTAAAAATTTTATTTTTCAGAATCCGAAAGAGTGCGGGACCTCATAGCCACATTGGAGTTGCCCGTGCACTCCGGTACGGTGGAATGGAAGCTGAAGCATCTGTACGAGGCCTGCTTGGACGTGGATAACGTGAACACCGACGACGCCAGACCGCTCCTTGACATCATATCGGAACTCGGTAAGTCCACTTTAAATGAACACCCGTCACAGATAGCGGGAGTAATAAAACGCAGAACAGTTTGTTTGAAATTCGGGCTGAAGGAACGCGTCGGTTGTATTCGGAACCCACATACGGCGCCGAAAAAATTTTCAACAAGGTTTCCAATTGAGAAAATTTGTTTACTTTGAACTGGTTAACAGTATAACGAAACGTGCGAAGTACCAGAGTTGACGTTCGATCACACCCCTTGCTAGCTCCGCCGTGGTTCTGCAGGGATCTTCGCCTTAGGATTACGTTTAATATGATATCTGCATAAAACTTTAAAAATAAATTCTATCAATGAGGCGATAAGCAGGGGTCTGACAAATCCGATGACATTGCATTGGAGTCAGTATTAAAATATTTAAATTACGTTTATTCCTGTTTACGCGACTCTCCTTCAATAAACGTGCATTTCGCCGCGGTCTTCGCTTCACAAAACTGGTTCTCGGGATATTTATCAAACATTCCATTGAGCATAAATTACATATAATTGGGTAACGTAAATAAACTGTCGAAAATATCATAAACGTTATTCGATGACTTTATTATTCTAAATAATACAACGAAACATTTTTGTTCGCGCAAATATCGATATGAAGCATCGAAACATATGCGTGTAACGTTTTGTTCTAAAAATACCCGGTATGGCACTGTTTATTTGCCTTGAAATTGTATTTTTAAATTAATTTTACACGCGTATTTCGATCCGCATAAGTAATATGTACGATTCACAATGGTACATTATTATAAACAAAGTGTTAAGGAACCTGGCATGTTTTGTTCGTAAAATAACGGTTGAATATGTGGGTTGGTATTTTGCGAATTAATCTGAACCGATTTCATATTATTTTCCCGAAAACCGCGTTTGATGAAATGTGGTAAGTTGCTTCTGTAGATAGAGATGAACAGTCTTGATATTTTCATAACAGTTTCTATTTTCTGGACTTACTAGACCATGTAACAATCGCGTTTTTTTAGAAATCGGGTAACTTCTTGCATAAACCTGGTGTGGCAAGAGTACATTGGTCTTTGATTTCTTTTTCAAACTGAACGTTTCAATATAAAGCGGATTATCAGGATAAGCGAATTCTGTGGTAATCTTTTCTCATCCTACTGGGTGTACCAGGAAAATTGAGGTTTTCGTTGTTAAAAATTATTAAAATTCTTCTTTCTTATACACCTTTTAAATATAATCAAAGCTGTAAATACTTTTACACACTTAAAAGCCATTTTTTTATACTGGAAATTATGTAGTCCAGTTTTGTATAACAATTTGTACCCGTTGTAGGTATAGGTGCGTGTTTAATGCTTCGTGTAAACCCATAAAACAGCCATAATTTCACCATTTAAAACTTGATTTGATTCAATTAATGGTCCATTTAATCCTTAAGATAAGATAAATAAATAAACAGGTCTATTACTTCCAGAAGCTGATTAAAAATGGACCATATACTTGCGTACGTTTCATTAGAAAATATTCGTCTTTTTATTTTCGAATGACATAATTATCTGTTTAATATAACCACGTTATTAGATATTCAATAATTGCTACTGAAACTATTTCAGTCCATCACACAAAGCATAAGCCATATGCTTTGTGGCCCATCGAGAGAAAATGTGTCACACAAAACATTTCAAAATGTCTGAAATGTCTTGTCATAAATAATTATGAAGATAAGATGCTATTTCTACTCGAGTGTTAGTATGATGGTTAGGGTAATATTTCTCAGTATATGTATGTCCAATGCTGATTGCTCCATTTTCGTTTTCGAGATTCAATGTGATATACATTCTTTTAAATCACAGAAAAACATCCTTCAAATTTGACAGGAAGCTATAATTTTTTATTATTATTGGGTTTTATTCAAGCAAATGTAACACAAATAAATCGACTCATTGTTCGTTGTTTAACATTTAAAAAAACAGTTAGACTTGAAGTCCATATAAGTCTCACTGATGAAAAGTATTATTAGTTCTGGGCTTACATGATCTAATAAGATGTTAGTGAGTTAGTTGAATATCGAATCAGTCAGTCAGTTTTGTTACATAGATCGAATTGTAATATTATCATGAGGGGGTACAGTCAAATGGACTGAAAATGTAGTACGTTGTATTTCATGATATCCTGATCAAAAGTCCTTATGGGCTCAGTCTGAGAATGGCCAGTTTTAAAGATATAAAGGGTCAAAGGGTCATAAGTGAGCATTTATGACGTATCAGTCACATATTTTAATGAAAATCGTAGTTGGCCATGGCCTAGTTAAAAAAGACTGAAAAAATATATATTTTGTCATATTTACATTTTCTTCACAGCCAGCTACATACAACGATGACACCAGACTCCATTTAACAATGCATTTGTTTTTGGTCATGGCCAACTTCGCCTTTTTTTTAAGTAATCTGTGGCCAACTATGATTACCATTTTAAAAATGTAACTTTCCACGATTCGCGATCTTAATAATTTTTTAACTAATAAATCACAACATCAAAAATGGGATACAGTTATTTTAAGAAATTGTCTTAGAATGTTTAACAATTTTAATATCTTGTTCAATATTTCTTAATAACGACAACAGGGATCAATTAATTATATTAAATAAGAAAGAGTATTTTACCTGTTGAGACGTGCAATTATTTTTACTTGCGAATCTTATATTGATGCTGGTAACTAGTATAGGCAACACAATATGCTCGCATGAGATTGTTAAAGTCTATAGCTCACGAACTCTATTCGATCACGTCACGACGGTGATGAAATCAGTTACCATAAAAATACATACAAATTATTATGAATCGCAGTTCATTTATTTTTCTTCGTACGTCATTTTCTTTATTCTTATCTTTCCAAACACCATATAACTTCGTTGCCTTCGTCGCCTGCGCAAAACGAATCCACCAGGAAACACGCGTGATCAAAAATAAAAAAACTTCCTTAATATAAGAAAAACTTCATTTTTTGTCCACAAAATAAGCGCCTAATGAATTCAATCCAATAAAAGCTAATTAATTTACATAAAGCAACAATCTTCGCGTTCATTAATAAACCCAATTGAGCGTAAACCATAACAAACGCGGGACACGGGCGCCAATAATAAAAACTTTACACACATAATGGTAATGGTATTACATTAAACACATCGATCTGAGTTACGCATTCTATAAATACGGGCACTTGTAACGCATCACTGGTGCTCTATTAATACGTTTATAAATAGAAGAACGGTTGGTTATCATCTCGGGGATTTATTAAGCCTTTTCCGTAATAAAGATGACTGCACTGGGGCATCAAAGACTGCCAAATTAAAAAAAAAAGTAGAAACAATTTGATAGGATTATCTAGCAGGCAGTTTTGTTTAGTCCTTTCGAACAAATGAGTTTAATTCCCAACCATTTTGGCGTTTTAAGTGGGTACTGAATGTTATCTATGTAAGCATCGGATATAAATAGCCCCAATACGGACCCCTGTAGAACATCAAATGGAAGTTAACTTATTTCAAAGTTAATGTACTACATATTATTTTTTATAGTTGAAGCTAGTGTACGGTTAGAAAAATGTGGTAAAAGATTCTGTAGAATATTAATTATTCTGAACAAATATTAATTTTAGCACAAACTTTATGCCTCAAACGACCTTCGCCTAAAAGTTGTGGCTAAATTTTTAAGAGTAGGTAATATATGCAAAACAAATAGGAATTTATTATTGCATATACACTACCCAATAGTAATAAAAAATAGATTACTGAACGTTTTTTTTATTTCTCAGATATTTAATGGATATTCAAGGTTCCAAAAGTGATTTGATATGATTTGTATTGCGTTTTCAGTTTTGATCTAATTTGTTGGTTATGATTTATTTTTATTTTTGTTTATGTTAAGAAGCAAATAGTCTAAAAATAACAGTAGCACGAACACGATTTTAAACAGAGAATAGTTTCATTAAGTAACGCAATGTTGCGGTTTACAAAAATGTATTATTGAATTATACCGGGTGATTCTAGATTAATTGGCCAATATTTGATTAAAGTTTGAATGGTTAAAATAGAACAAAACCTATGAGGGGACGTTCGGAAACTCTTTGTTTTCGACGGACAAGGGATTGTAAAGTAAACAAAACACATTTTCTGAAACAGCTCTGAAAATTGGCGTAGAATATTGGAACTTTGACTATTTATTTATCTAATTGAAGGTAAAAATCCTCCGAATTCCGTGACTGAAGACTCCAAAAATTCGGCGTCCTTTTGTATCTTGGAAATTCGATTCTTGGTAGAGATATTTCGAAAAAAAAACAACAATTTTTTTCATGTCATTTTTAAAACGAACGTCAATAAAAAAGCTACAAGCTACATTTTATGTCAAAAAAGTTATATTTGCGACATTATAAGTCACAAAAATTATATTTGAGAGCGAATCAATTTTTCACTGTTTTTTACACTTTTGTGGGTCCTACCGCCTCCAGATGGGCATTTGGAGCTTCGTGGTGTGGGTACACATGTTCACAAGTGACCCGTTTTTAAGCATTACGTTAAGAGCGCCAGCAGGACGCCGCCGGACGCACCAGCGTTCCAGGAAGGGTCTACGGCGGACTGGCGCCGGCGACCAGATGCGTACTTATATACCTACGACCGACTCCACACACACGGACTCTCCAACGAACACTCGCCCCGTCAACACGTTTTTTTCTATACAACTTAGTTTTCAATAAAATACTTTATTATTACCGTTGAGAGAGCGTTTTATTTTGCTATACAGCGAAAGCAACCCTCAGTGGCTATATACTTTTGATGAGTAATAAAAAAGGGACAACATATCATTTTTTCAGGAAAATTTCCATAAGGTGTATGCGTGGTCCTTTTTCATTATCTTTTTATATCCAAATAAACGGGGTTAAAAGGAACTATGACGTCCAAGCAATTTTATTGCATGAATCGTTCAAAGGATCATTTTAGATGAAAAAACCGCGGAGTGCTATTAAATT